ATATTATCAGTAACGGAGCACTGAATACGTAGGTGGTGATACAATCTGACAATGATAGTCAACGAGAAGCGATATCGACCTGGTGAAAGGAAAGGAAAACATTTTATCAATGGGCTGCATGTAGAAGGAGTGACAAGCTCATATGAGTCAGATTTACTTTGTGAGATTAACATTATCATCACAATTAGTAAAACTTCAAAACACTACTAATTGTGTTAGTAAACTTATTTTAGAAGGGTTTCACGGATTTGTAGTAACGAACTCTTTGATTCTATAAACTACGATAGTAGTTATTCAAACTACGTTTATTGAACTTCAAGAGGTCACTTACACACGCACATAGCGAACGTGTTTAAATATTAATAGAAAAATAAGGATTTGGGGTATCCACTCCTGACGAAAAATCAGTACAGTAGTTTATAAGTACAATAATTTACCAAAATATATAATTAAGAACGTATCTGAAGCTTTTTGTAGTGAGGATTGCGACGTATTAGGAAATTTGCTATTTTATATTCATTATTTCAAAAGAAACAATAGGCTTGGAGATCGTATTACCTTTATTTTCCTTGTCTTGTTTTTAAATATGGATCAGATTTGAATAATTGGAAAGCGAAACTGCTTTATATATCAAGTAAATTCCGGCTTGTTCTAATTTTTTTTCTCCCATCGTACGCCATTCATATAACAAAACAACAATATGATTAGATACAGAAAAATACTTTATAATGGTTAAGATCGAAGGAAAAATATAATTCAAACATTAGACAAAAAAATGAAATTAAACTAAATCATAAATTAAGTGCGTATGAAGTGATTTTCTTGGTAACCTTCATCAGGATTATAATACATGCCTGCACAAAAGCACCTACTACTAAGCTGATCATACCCGTGGGGACTATCAGAACACCTAAAATGATATCGGGCCAGTGCTAGAAAATAATCACAATTTATACATTTGGTGTACTTGAATACTTGAGTATCTATCATGTGAACAAATGTGACCAAAATAAGAAAAGCCTAATCCTTCTAAGTTCAACCGGCAAGAAGGAGTTTGCCAAGACTCCGTGTTGAAGGCCGTACTTTGACCTATAAATGTTTACTTTTTATCCATTTTGACATGGATGGAGAGTTGTCTCATTGGTACTCATACCACATCTTCTTATTTATTTTGAATTTTGGTTTCATATTCACTTCTTTATGTATCAAATGTTTCTGATGGATTATGTCAGGACCAGATCAGTTTTTTCACAACCTCATCTAAAAAGTTTGAACAATAACGTATTCAGTCATGTTTACTCTTTCAGTCAATTTTCCGACTTATCCACTGCACTAAATTCAGAAGCTTTTCACACAACTCTGTACAATGTTGATGTACATGTATACAGGTAAAAAAAAATAACTGAACGGTTTGAAAATAGACTGAACAGATATAAATTAACTGCAAGCGACTTGTCTGGATAGACCTAAATTGGCCGCAGTGTATAAGTCTGAAAATTGGCTGAAAATGAATGACTGAAAATGACAAAGTGTTAATTCTTTTTAAAGCTGTTCAAATCAAAATGACTGTCTTGTCCTCCTTATTACAAGCAGTCAATCAGTACTAGATATAGAAGTATTATCTCAGTGGTAAACAATGGTAATGACTACATGTGCCAAATATTTTGGGTATTTTTATAATCGTACAAATTTTTACCTCACAGTGGTTGTAAAAATCCAACAGAAGGCTTAAAACTTTCAACTATTACTCAGATTCACCGATTATCAGATTTCCCCAATTCTAGTCAATTCAAAAGTAGATATGAAAAATACATGAACATCTGAATGAAAAAGTAAGAAATTGACAATCGATGTTTACACGTTTAATTATTTAGGGGTAGGGAAGAAACTTTATAAAAAAAGAGGCGAAGGATACCCAAGGGACAGTCAAACTCATAAGTCGAAAATAAACTGACTACGCCATAGCTTAAAAAAGAAAAAGACAAACAGACAAACAACAGTACACAAAGCATAACATAGAAAACCAAAGACCAACAATATGAAATATGAACGTAATATTTGGATTATAAATACACAGGAAAAATTGCAACATATGTTTTTCATATGTTTGTCCCAAACATATGAAAAACATATGTTTACAAACATATGTTCACATATGTTTTGAAACATATGAAAACATATGGAAGCAAACATATGTTTTCGTATGTTTTATAAAATATGTTAACATATGTTTGTAAACATATGAAAAACATATGATTTTCATATGTTTTAAAGGACATTAAAAAAAAATGTTTTGAGAAAATGTCAAAATTTGTCATTTAATTATCACATACATTTTTTCATTTATTATCTATATAGCGTATTTCTCAAACAGGAAAGTTCACTTTCTACTCTTCCCACTAAATCCCACATGATCATGATGATGAAAGCAGGTCAGCCCTGTCAGTGTCACCCCCACAGCAGAGCTATCTAATTTTGAATTGAACAGAATGTAGAATAAGTGAATGGGCTATAAATGTTAAATAATAATATGAATAAATATTCTTTATTTAGTTTGTTCTTTATTCTCAATTCTTTTTTTTTCTTAATAATCCAATTATTCTCTATGATTCTTTATTCTATATTTCTGCCTTTTTTTACTATCTGTTCTTTATTTTGCACTTTTTGTCACTATTTTCTATTCTTAAACTCCCATCTTGATTCCAGACCCTCAAATATACGTAAATGTACGAAAGCTTGCATGGTACGTCGAACACGAAAACCCGGACATCTTTTCACCGTTACCGTTTTTTATACTATGACGCAAAATCCATGGACGCTCACGCGATCATCTGTTGCTGTCTTTTTAAAAGTTTTTAAGAATGGACAGAGATAGATGATACAAGGAACTTTGGTTTTTCAAACTGGTGAATCAAAAATTTATTATAAACAGATAAATTGAAATGGGTGACTTGTCGAATAACTGGAAAAAAAAACGGAGAACGAAACATAGAAAATTTATGAAACGAAAGTCAACGCAACAAAAGTCAAAGCGTTTTTGTTTTGATAGATAATTTTAAGTACCCTAAAAGCGGAACGAAAGGTAAATATTATTATGCACATTTTGTTTAATTATTGGATTAAAGCAGGAAGATGTGTGTGCTTTATTTTTCACGAAAGACTATTTGACTGTAGATATTTGTAAACCTGAGAACGACATTGAACCCCCCCTCCCCCCACCCATATTGTAATATACATATAATTGCATTGGGTAATCCGTTTCATTATCTATTTATATTTCATAATGAGGATATTACAAGATTTAGACACAAATACATCCCAAATAACCATATAATTTGTAAGCCCTTTAGACAATAAGACAAACTTGGAAAAAGGGGGGATATCATATACAAGGGGAGGACATCATATACTTGATGTAATGTACTGAAATTGTTTATCTAATGTCACAACAAAACTTAATTACTTTACCTGATGCAGACCTGTATATCTTATGATAAATGTGTGGTATTTGTATTTGTTTTTCAGTTGTTTTAAAACCATGAAAATGTAGACGACTTTATTATCTCTCTAGCAATTAATAGCTATTTTACACTTAATAGATAGGGGTGCACCTGGGGATCAATTACTCCCCCCTTTTCATATAATTGAGATTTAAAAAATGTATATACCTTTTCATACATCGCGTAGGTAATAATGTACATGTAACCTTTTCCCAGTTTTAATAATGAATGATTCCAGGACGTGCAGGAGCGGACAAGAATCACATTCCGGTATTACCGAGAAAATCATCACATTTGATTAAAGCTCAAATCTGAGGCTCAAATTTCTTATTTTATGTTAACTTAAGACAAAACGAGACTTGCAACTACACAAATGGAAGAAAATTACAGGGCTTTGCATCTGAGAGGGGGGTAGGACCTTTATCGGGACTCTGGGATCGGGTATTTTTAAGCTCGGGATTTCGGGATTGATCCTTTCGGGATCCGGGAATTCTTTTTTTTTCGGATTTTGGGATGTCTGGATTTAAATTTTTTTAATTTCGGGACCTCAGAATTCCATGTTTTTAAGCCCTGGATTTCGGGATCAGGACCCCTCCTACCCCCATCATATGACAAGTACAATAAGCCTTGATTATCCTGAGTCTGAGACTACTATTACTGAGTACTATAACAATAAACATCTAGTATTTCTCAGCCTTATCATACATGTATTATACTTCTGATAGTTTTCCACACCTATTCACATATGTTTAAGCTGAAAAATATGACCCAGGCTATTACAGCGGCAGGTCTTATCACCTTGTACATTATAAGTAGAAGTGGACCCTAGAGTGCATGAATGGTCTACTTTACATCTACTTAAATGTGAATATAAAAATAAGAAGATGTGGTAAGATTGCCAATGAGAAGAGTCCAATTCTCCACAAGAGATCAAATGACATAGAAGTTAACAAGTATATCAAATTTATGGTACAAATGTACAAGATGACTTCAACAATGAACAAAGCCCATACCAGAAAGTCAGCTATAAAAGACATTTAATGGAAATGACAAATGTTAAACAATGCAAATGAGGAAACTAACAGACTGGTAATGATTTATTAACAAAACAAGGAACAAATAAATAAATATGATATACAGCAACAAGAAACAGGGCAAGTCTAGATCTGTTGTTCTTGTTTTAAAAGATCAAAATAAGCCAATTTTGCCATATAAAAATATTTAAGGCAATTTGGCAGATGTATTGTAACTTCATTTTATTATACATTTGAACATGTTATACATTATTTCTTTTAGCATTTTCAATGAAAGTACATTTTGTACATGTACTTCAACAGAACAGAATTCATTTGAGGCCTTGCTTTCTAGATTATATAATGGATTCATAGATTGTCATATTGATTTATGTGCATAAAAGGAGCAGTAGTCAATGAATAATGTTGTGATGAGAGGTATGTAATATAGAGAATAACTTTGTTTGAATATTTTGTTGTTGTCAGACTGTATACATGTTGCAAGTTTTGAGGTCATAGACATGATAGAGTTGAAAGTTTTGATTCTTGTTGTGGGCTATTTCTATAAGCAGTGACAAGTTTGTTTTTTTTACAGGTCAATTTTATAGAAAATAGGGTTGGAAGCTCTATTAACACTTCATTGCTTGTTCTTTTTTTTGTCTTGCAACAACAGTCATGAAGGTGAGTCTTGGGCATGCTGTTTTTAACAGAGGCGAAGTCATAAACAATTTGTTAAAAATTGAGATTAGGTCAGTTTAAGAGGAACCAAACAATAACGTATGGCCGAGTTATGGGTAAATAAGTCAATAATATTTTTTGCAGTAGAAGTAGGATATCCACTTCTCATTTCCATTTCCATTGAGATTATATGGTCCAAATCCCTCAGTCATGGTTGATTGACTTTGATATTTTTACCTAACTTAAATGTGAAAAGTTTCTGATTAGGTCAGTTTGAGTGAACCAATAATGATAAATCATTGATATTTGCATGAATTGATATGCAGTTGTATATGTCAGAGTACTAGCACATTTCATATCACTTGTTTTTTATTTTGCCCAGCCCCTCAGTCATGGTCTATTGATTTTGAAACTTTGTCAAGTCATGGATGGTGTGTGACTTTGGATGTTTAAGCAATGTCATTTGAATATCAACATTTGAAATCAACTAACAGGATTTCATACAGAGAAGACATACTTCTATGTCTAAAGTTTATTCATATAATATTAATGTAAACCAAAGGTTTATTATATACCAGTAATGTCTTGGATACATTATTTATACAGGAATTACTTCATTTTGAAATGTAAATTCTATGGAAGATAACCATTTTTTCCAGTAAAGCACTGTTATGGTTGCATTTTTTTGTCAGATATTTTTGTAATTCATACCATAGGTCTATATCAGCATGGTCTTTTAGTTTTATGAGTTAGAAAATAACTGCTGATCAAATTTGTTTACAGTAGTTATACCTCTTGGAAATAGATATTGTAAGAAAAACTGCATTGCAAGCAATCCCACACATGTCTTCATTTCTTTTAGATTATTTATAATTTATGAAAAAGGTTAAAAGAACATACATATTTTTTGCTTTTTGACAGCAAATTTTATATATCCATCAATTGGCGAAGTACATTGAAGCGCTGTTCTTTTATTAAGTGCATGAAGTATGGATGGTAACACAAATGACAACATATTATGTTCATGAGTTAATATTGCCTTGTCTGAAAATAGAATACGCGAAGTACTAACATTGAACTATGGTAATGTTGTAACCCTAACGCTGTAGTGAATGACGTTATTGTATAGATTTCATAGCTACAACAACGATTAAACGTACATTGCAATCATAAGTATTTATTGAGATTCCACAACATGCCTATAAATGGTGTATTTAAACAATTTTGCCTATGTAACAGGAAATCAAGATTTAATAAACATCAAGAGTTAATGCCTAAATGTTGTTTTTTATACGACCGCAAAAATATTTTGCGGTCGTATATTGGTATGACGTTGGCGTCGTCGTCGTCCGAAGACACATTGGTTTTCGCACTCTAACTTTAGTTTAAGTGAATGGATCTCTATGAAATTTTACCATAAGGTTCAATACCACAAAAGGAAGGTTGGAATTAATTTTGGGGGTTATGGTACTAACAGTTAAGGAATTAGGGGCCAAAAATAAGCATTTTTGTAACTTCGAGACATAACTTGTGTGTTAGTGTATGGATCTCTCTGACATTGTACCACAAGGTTCCATATCACAAAGGGAATGCTGGGATTGATTTTGGGGGTAATTGCCTCAAAATTTTAGGAATTAGGGGCCAAAAAAAAGGCAAAAAACAAGCATTTTTCTAGTTTCATGACAATAACTTGTGTGTAAGTGTATGGATCTTTCTGAAATTGTACTACAAGGTTCCATATCACAAAGGGAAAGCTGGAATTGAGTTTTTGGGTAACTACGTTTAGGAATAAGGGGCCAAAAAGAAGCATTTTTCTAGTTTCCAGACAATAACTTGTGTTCAAGTGTATGGATCTCTGAAATTGCACTGCAAGGTACCATACCACAAAGGGAAGGCTGGGATTGATTTTGGGGGTAATTGCCTCAAAATTTTAGGATTTGAGGCCAAAAAGGGGTAAAAAAAAGCATTTTTCTAGTTTCAGGACAATAACTTGTGTGTAAGTGTATGGATCTTTATGAAATTGTACTACAAGGTTCCATATCACAAAGGGAAAGCTGGGTTTGAGTTTGGGGGTAATTGCCCTAAATGTTTAGGAATTTGGGACCAAAAAGGGGCTTAAACAAACATTTTTCTAGTTTCCAGACAATAACTTGTGTTCAAGTGTATGGATCTCTCTGAAATTGTACTGCAAGGTACCATACCACACAGGGAAGGCTGGGATTAAGTTTGGGGGTGATGAATCATAAGGGGGTTCAAAAATTTGGGGGAGGGATTTTCTTTTCCTTTTTTCCTTTTTTTTTCTTTAAAATTTTCCATTTTAAATTAATTGGTTATTTCTGATTTATATATAAAAGCAAATAATAATGATATGGTTTGAATAAGTAAATTAAAAAAAATTTTAAGTTCTTAGACCACATTCATTCTGTGTCAGAAACCTATGCTGTGTCAAATATTTAATCACAATCCAAATTCAGTGCTGTATCAAGCTTGAATGTTGTATCCATACTTGCCCCAACTGTTCAGGGTTCAACCTCTGCTGTCGTATCAAGCTGCGCCCAGCAGAGCATTTTATTTTAAACTGTAGACAGCAGAGTAGATGGTTTTATATTGGGAAAAGTTCATACTATACTAAGACGGGCTTAGGCTATACATATATTATTAATATTAGTTACACTGTTGATCTTTTTATACGACCGTTGTTGTTTGCTTACACATTTTTTCCATTCACTCAAAAGTAAAAATATAAATTAGTGACTCTCAGCATCAGTTCATACTTCATCTACAAAAATAATCTAGTCTTTGTCTGGAGTTCTGGATTAAATTAAGATTTACAATTTTAGCTTATTACCATGGTTACCAAATGAAAGGAAAGTGCAGTATTAGAATCACTGGTGTACATGTAGATGCGGATGTCCGGCAAAAAGAACTGGTATCAAAGTAAGTTCATCTGTAGAATTGCAGTTAATTTAAATAATTTAATGTTATCTATTTAAACCTTTTTCAAGTGTAATTGTACATGTTACGGCATGTATACTGTTGTTTATTTATGTCTTTCTGATGTCAAGTATGCATCAAGGAATCCTTATCCTGCTCTCCTTCTTCTGCTCCACACACACACACGCATGAGATGACAGAAGTTCAAATAATTATGGCATTTGCTTATATTATGAATTGTATATTTAAAAGTTGTTCTCGTCTAAAATATACATACATTGTAAAATATTTGCCACTGAACATTAACATAAGCAAGAAAAATCAATCAATTATTGTTTTTGCATTATAGGAATGAGTTTTCAAACATACATGTATAACAATTGAATAATTTCCTTTTAAGCTTATTTTATGAACCAGCATATAGATATAACATGTATAACTATAAGGAGATGAGGTACATGTATGATTCTCAACTATCAATTAAAAAACCAAAGGACGAAGATGTAAACATTTGCTGGTCACTGTACAGCCATAAACAATGATCAAAATCCATACCATAAAGTAACCTATTATGGCTATACATGTAACTTGTATAAGGATGAAAAAATGTGAACCAATAAAAAAAATAAAACTACACACAGTATAGCAGACAGCACCCAACATAAGAACCAAATGTCAGAATCAGCCAGAAAGGGATGGACTCATCAACAAGCACTAAAAAGAAATAAAAAAATAATAAAAGATGCAAAAATTATGTATTCCCAAACTAAAATATCTATCAGTTCACCTTCGACAGATTTAATCAATTAATGTAACAACAAAACATTTGTCATTTCAAACAGTCTAAGAAAGCATGACTTTGTGTAATGCCAAAATATTGAACACACAAGAATATGTAGGACCATAACAGCATATAAGTATTAATAGTTGCATAGAATTTCAATTTCTGAAATACATGTTCTGCTTTTTGTCAAGCTTGCAAATTTATTTCACGAAAGCGAGACAGTGATCCTAGATTCTGCCAGAGGTGGCGTCGCTGTCCTAAAATTTAGGTTCAGTCTGTGGTTAAATTTTTTTTGAACATTGATAACTTTGTCAAACAGACATGGGATTTTGTGAAATTGAGACAGAATATTCGAAGCTTCTTAATGACCAAACTACAGTATCCAAGGCAAAATTTTGAAAATATTTTTTTTCATTGTTCTGTATTTCAACTAATAAATGGGCTTAGTTTTTTTGATGAGCTTGCGACTTCCGTTGCAGAAAGCTCGACATAGGGATATTGATCAGGCGGCTGCGTCCATGGTGGGGTTAACAAACTTCTTCAAATCTTTATATTTTAGAAGGTGGAAGACACGGATGCTTCATACTATGTACAATGTATATAGATGCATATGTATGTTATGAAGTTTCTGTCAGTCAACTGTCCATTGTCCTTGAACTCATTTTCATGGTTCAGTGATTACTTGAAAAAATAACGATTTTTTGTAATGTTAATTTCTCTCATAATTTCTCTCTTATTAATATTATTTATAGTATTCATGGTAATAGGATATTTATATTTACTTAGTATATGGGTACCTTGCAAGGTCCTAGTGTCTGTCTACTCTGTCAGAAAGTTTTTGTGGTCAAGTCAATATCTCAGGCATTATAAGCAATAAGTCTACTGTATTTGGTGTATTGAATTATTGTAAGGTGTAGATGTCCAACTAGTAGTTGTAATCTGGCCTTGACCTCATTTTAATGGTTCAGTAATAAGTTTTTATGTTTTGGTCTAATTTTTGGATACCAAAGCATTCAGTAAATTATATTTGGTGTATGGAATGTTTGTAAGGTGTACTGATCTAAAATTGAGAATGGAAATGGGAAATGTGTCAAAGAGACAACGACCCGACCAAAGAGCAAAAAACAGCCAAAGGCCACCAATGGGTCTGACAGTAATCACCTGAACTTGACCTCATCTTCATGGTTCATTGGATATTTTTTTCTTGCTTAGTCTGTTTTCCAGATACTATAAGGTAAAGGTGAACTATAATTGGTTTCTGGAACGATTGTAAATTAAAATTGTAAGGTGTTTAGGTTTAACTTTACATTTATCTTGCAGGCTTCATCTGACCTTAACCTTATTTTCATTGTTCATTGGTCAATATTAAATTTCTCTTGATTTGGTCTTTTTTTTAGATACTAAAAGTAAAGGTGAACTACTTTATGTTTATGGAATGATTGTAAGGTGTTTATATTTGTCTTGCAGGTACAATTCTTGCCAGATTTTTTAAAACTTATTCTATAGGTTAATATCAGCATAATCCTAGTCAAGCTTTATAAATTTGGCCGATCAACTTTTTTCAAAAGAGTTATGCCCCTTGGAAATAATAAATTTATGGAAAATGGCCTTGTAAATGCTCTCATTTTGTTTTTATTAAACTTAAACATGTAGTATACTATTATAGTAATGCCCTGGTCGGTTTGAAATATTAAGTATACAAGAAAAAGAACTTTTTTTCCCCCAAACACATTATATATAAATATTTTTGAGAACAAAAAATAAAATTGAGAATGGAAATTGGGAATATGTCAAAGAGACAACAACCTGACCAAAGAGCAAAAAAACATGTTTTTTTTTTAATATTGCCCCTTGATAGATAAAAAATGTACGACTAGGGGGACATTGAAACTCTGTTCTTTTATTTTCACTTGCAGAAACTGAAAAGTAAAGAAACAGAACCAAAGAACGTTAATTTTAGATTAATACAATATTGAACTGAAAGTCAATTTAGTTGTCTTTCTTAATCATACAAGATGTTTCCAAAAAAGCAGCTGCATACACATGCACCAGTAATAGCCAGCAGTGAAGACAATTAAATATCTGTGTATGGTGATATAGCAATAGAAATATCACATACATCATAGGAAAATAGAAATGAAGTATGTCGAAGAGACACACATAATGATATATGAAATAGAATATAGACAATAGAAATGGAGTATGTCAAAGAGACACACATATGAAAATAGAATATAGACAATAGAAATGGGGTACTTGTATGTCAAAGAGACACACATATGAAAACAGAATATAGACAATAAAATAGGGGTATGTCAAAGAGACAAACATGAAAATATAGAATATAGACAATAGAAATAGGGTATATCAAACAGACAAACATATGAAAATAGAATATAGACAATAGAATTTGGGTATGCCAGAGACAAAAATATTAAAAATAGAATACAGACAAAAGAAATGGGGTATGCCAAAGAGACAAACATATGAAAATAGAATATAGACAATAGAAATGGTGAATGTCGAAGAGACAAACAAACCAAAATAGAATATACTAGACAATAGAAATGTGCTATGTCAAAGAGACAAAAATATGAAAATAGAAGAGACAACAAGTTAATAAAAAAAAAATTCTACTTGATATAAAAATTATGGAGCACTGTTATTTTTCTGCATAAAAGAATGTCTGTATACAGTTGTTTTTTATTTGTTTGAGCTTTTGATTTTGCCATGTATTTTCTGTGGAGTTTGGTATTTTGGGTTATTTACTTTTTAAAGCAACAGCTCATCACAATGAAGTATTTACACTCAAAATGAGTTCCTGATAGAAAAAAAGATAATAAAGAAAAACATATTAAAACATCAAAACATAACTCTAAAAAACCTACCGCAAAAAAAATTACATATATATACAAACCATGTTTAGAATCTATGAGAAAATAAATGCATTTGAACAATTAAAAACATATAAAAAATATATATTGAGGACCAAGATAAAATCATATGAAAACATATGTTTGGGCCAAACATATGAAAACATATGTTTAGGACAATCATATGAAAACATATGTTTAGGCCAGGTATGAAAACATATGAAAAACATATGTTTGTAAAAAACATATGAAAAACATGTTTTTCATATGTTTTTCATATGTTCGAAAACATATGTTTTCATGTCGGGCCTAAACATATGTTTACATATGTTTTCAAACATATGAAAAACATATGTTAAACATATGAAAACATATGTTGCAATTTTTCCTATGTATAATGCCCATATCTCATATTCATATTACTTAACTGTCACTTATCAGATGAGATCCCGTTGATACAGGTAAACCATTAATAATCATTATTTTATTTATCAAAGACCATAGTTTATTTAGCTCAATCAAATATGTTATCACACAAATTCTGCATTACCACTGCCATCTGTTTGATTCCATTTCTTTGTCTATTTTTTTTTTGTATTTGTATTTACTATGATTAGTGAATAATCGGAAGTTTTTACAGTTACGAATGGGATGCTTTGTTACAGTATTATTGTCACTTTGAATAGGCACGGATGTATTTAACGCTTGTTTATTATAACCAAACAAATTTATCAAAGGTTGGGTCGTAGAAAAATATAAAAATAAGGATATAAAATGTGATATTTTAAAGTTCATTATGCATACAAATACATAACACACTCTGTTAACACTATATTTCATAATGAAAAAATATAATTGTACACAAATTTAAGTTATCTTTAATTATAATTGAAACATTTTTAACAGTTTGTAACATGGTTTTATATTACATTTAGACACGTAATTTGACTACGCGTCTTAAAGGGGCATGTATTGAAACTTCCGTTGTTATTTTTCCATCTTATATTTTAGAATATTTTCTTAAAGGAGACAGAAATTTGAAGAAGAAGAAAACAACAAGATAATCTTTTTTTATGTGACAAAAATACTTTTAAAAGTAGAAATCCGTCTGAATGAAAATTTAGGAGGTTATTTAATACAGCTACATGTCATAGTAATAATGATGATAGTATACATGTAACTTATGTCTTCATTTAACATTTTTCTAGTTTTAATTTTTTAATTACATTTACTTTTTCTAGTGTGCGTTCGTTTCAATTGAATATCTTACAACTTCAACAAATTATAACAAATTAAATTATCAAACCTATGGTATATGCCGTGTAAAACTATATCAATTTAAAAACGGACAAGAAAAAACAACATCTTAATACTTCGATAGTTTAGTATCATTTTAAAAAATAGTACAACATTGCAAACCTTTCACAATATTCCACAGGGTAATATGCTCATTATTTTCAACGTTTTGTTTGTGTTGTTTTAAAAGGGTATTTTAGTATATATTTCCTTTCTTTCATATTTTGAAATTTCCCAATACTACTCAATATTTTCTAGTGTTTTTTTTCTTCCCCAAACATGGGTGTGTTACGTAATAATTCTCCAAAGGTACAATGCGTCTGCGAACTTAAAATACCGATGTAATATAACAAAACGTCAAATTAGTTACTATAAATGAATTCTCCCTATTCTCATTTATCCCAGTGAAAGTCGATTTTTTTTTTAATCTATGGACGGTTTTCGTCATTTTTGTTTTTGTTTTGTCTTGTAAAGGGTCACTTCGATTTCGACATTTTTAGGATTTAGGCTAAAATGATACATTTAATTATCAAAAATCTTCAAAATGAAATCACTATCAATATAAGGTCAACCTGAGGTTTTTATATTTGTTGTCAATCTGTCGACGGAGAATTTAGGTAATGTATGTTAGAAATTTTGTCCGTAAAGTAGGACTGGCTATATAGTTGGTGTTCCAATCAGACAATGATAGTCCACCAGAAGCGGTATCTACCTAGTAATAGGAAAGGAAAATAACACTTTAATAATGTGCTGGATGCGGAAGGAGTAACGACCTCATAGGCGTCGTAATCACTATGTGAGATTTTTTTAACCTTATCATTTCAATTAGCCTATGATATCATTTTTCGAAGATGGAAGAGCCAAACTTCAAAACACTTTTTTTTTAGGGTAGTAAACTAATTTGACAAGTGTTTCGGTAATTTGTAGTAACGAACTCCTTGATTCAATAATGAACGATCATAACAGTTATACAATTTACGTTCATTGAAAATAAGACGTCATTTAGGCATGAAAATGGTAAACGTGTTTAAATATGCATAGGTAATGGTTTTAGTTTGTTGCATAGGGTTTGTTGTGTTGGAAATATTGACGTAACACTCAACATTTTGTTTGATATATGCAAAACTACATAATCCATGTTTTCGACAAACACGCAGTTTCAAGGGAAGGTGAAATTGGGAAGAGGGCATTTTATAACAATACGACAGTTTGAATTCACAACTAAGATATGCCTTAATTCATGCTTAACAATATATGAATATATTAACATTCAATAGGGGTTAAACAATCAAAGCTATACCATCAAATTCATAATGTTCTAAAAACACAACCATTATATAAACAGTGATGGCAACAAGTACTCGATTACTGGATCATTGGATGGAAAATTTTATACTCGACTTAAATTTTATTGACATTAACCCCTTGGAAATGTTGTCCAACAGAGTTTAGATCGGCTGTAATTTTCCTTTTATCATAGATGAAAAGTGTTCACTGTTTACGTTAACGACTAGAAAATCAGCTTCATAAACTACACTAAAAATGCCCCCAATAAAGAAATACCGTTAAATGAACCCTATAATGATGAAATGATATATTGTGATGATTTGATAGTTGCAAAGTCACAAAACACTGTCACGTGTCATGCCGTCTGCAAAGAAATAAGTTTATTCGAGAGCATTTTCTTATAAGCTTGCCAAATTAGCTAAACTTAGTAGTCGACTCTCATCATAATTGAATAAGGAAGTATTAAATTACCCTGAGATTAACATTATACAGGGCACTGGAGAATGCATACTCCTAAGTAATACATTAATTTATTTTTCCTCACATTTTCTAACAATATATCTTTTTTTTATAATTTCCCTCTGAGAAATAAAGAAATTATTGACAAACTAAGATTCCAAATACCTTATGTAAAATCAACCATAGATGAATTTTGTATATTTTCTATGTCCCTTAAGGTCTTAATCCTTTTCATGATTTGCGTTTTTTATACATCCTAGCTTTTAAATGCACGGGTTGAGTGTTCCTCATGCAGATAAATAAAGAACAGCGTTTCAGACGCATTTATAAATAAGGTATTATTTTCGTATAATATCAACACGGTTTCCTGATATAGTAATACCTCTTTCGTTGTAAAACATTCAATACGGACGTATACATTTTCAAGATTCAAACACAATGAACTTTGATTTGGTACCTGATAGCTGAACACCTTTACCAAAATGAGTTCAAAATCCCTTTATAACAACAAATAGTATAACAAAACCTTTAAGGAAAAAGTATTAAGAACTATAAACAATCTATATTAATTGAAAAAAAGGATATGGAGTATACAATCATGACGAATAATCAGTTAATTAGTTTATAAGTCAATAATTTACCAAAATGTGCATTTGAATGTAAAGCCACAACATATACAACACTGTCAAGTGTTGAATGACGCCAAATTAACTTAACTCAGAAGTCGACCTTCATCTGTGATTTTATTTGAATACGGGCATAATAAGATTCCCATGTGATAAACGTTTAATGACAGGTCATTAGAAATACACTAGAGTATTTATCTCCCTAAGTAAAACTTTCATTTATTATTCGTTAAATATTCCAACCTTTTTAGGTCAACAATATATCTGTTTTGATAATTTGTTGCTGACATTAGAAATATTATTGAGAAACTAAGGTTCCAAACACCTCATGCAAAATTAAACATAGAAGACTTTGGTTTAGTTTTTTATGTCCTCTATATCATTACCCTCTTAACGTGTTTGCGTTGTTATACATCCTTGCTTTCAAATATGCATTGGTTAG